GCAAACACCCCAATCCGTACCTCCTTATCCCTCAGCACAAACATATCTAGCATTTTTGGCACCTGTGAGATGTGCCCCACACACTCCTCCCAGTCCGTCGGATCTACACGGGCATCGTACCACAGGAGGGACCTCCACTTCTCAAACGGTGCATGTCAGCTCCCTGCCACGATCCGTGGTCTGCCTCGGAGCCGTCTTCGCCCCTCCATCGATACTGCTTGAGTCGTCGCCGCCAGCGCGGCATCTCTCCGCGCCGTCCACTCCCCCGATACATGCAGCATCACACGCAGCGTCTGTTGCCATGACTTACTATATACTGCGGTGGGCACGTGACACATATATTGGGAGACCTCGACAGCATATCCAAAGTTATATCTCACGACTTTTTCCACAAGCGTCTTGAATCCCCCCTCTCTGAACATCTCCCCGGACCTGGTGGTGCTCCGATCCCTGAACTCCTCCCTTGTCTCCGTATCCTTTTTATGCAACCCCCGCATCATGTGAAGACGTATACCTTCGAAGCTCCGCAATATGTTAAGCACATGTCCACGACAATTCCACCCCGCACATCCGTGACAGACAATCTGTTGAACTCTGTTCTGGTACCGCCTGAACGTTCCCCTTTCATACCCACCGCCGGCGATCGATAAAACTTAATTCAGCAATAAAACACCGCCTGCCCGCATCAATGCGGTGCCGCACTGCATGAAAATCCTTTGGGTTCGCCACGAACTTAACCCCCACTATCTCACATTCATCCTTCCTCTGTAGAATAACAGCACCACGTAACTGTTGAGGTAGGCCAGGGTCCCCAGCCTGCATGCAGACATCATCTCCCAGTTCGCGCGCCAAAGATTGCGCACCCTGGTTGTGTTTTAAACCAAACACGAGGCACTCCAAGCTTTCAATCTTCCAGTCCATGCCAGCACGTCTGAGCGCCACAGTCATCATACCCACCATCTGCTTCAATTGATTTGCTGAAGTTGGTAACAGGACCACATTATCCGCACATAGGAAATGATGGACCAGTGCCAGTGGTGTCCCACCTCCTTCCAATCGAACTCCAAAGTTACAAGAACCCCAGGCTTCAACAACATATCCCCATATTGCTGCAAGCACAATGTTGAAGAGCACTGGTCCTTCTCTACAACCTGTTCGCACCTATCTGTTGTATAAGATCCCCTCACTGCTGACATCCTGAGTCTCAAATGCAGCTGCATTTCCAATCGGAGGCTACACTATGGCAGTAGTCAAATCAACTGGATATTTGAAATATTCCATCGCGCGGATCACCATCGAAACCGTCGCATGGTCAAAAGCTTTCTTGGTGTCCATGATGCCCATATGGATTGATTCACTCTTCCCCCAGAGGGTAGCGTGACGCGTCATATGCAGTAACGGAGCCGTCATATGGTGTACTTTGTGACTTTTCTGGAATCTATATGTGGCCAATTTCTTCACATGCCCATGTTCCTCAACAAAAAAGGAGGCACGCCATATACCACTTACTCATAACACGCAACAGCGATTTTCCACGAGTATCTCCACATGGTTGAATAACATGCATTTTGGCGATCAACTGTGCGCACAAGTTTCTCCGCGAATCTGGGGGCGGCTTTCTCTGATCATGATGTTCTTGGAATGAGCGTCGCACCAATATCAATGCATTCCCAAGGCATCGCTTTGAGCATCTCCGCCACCAGGCCATCGCAGCCCGCAGCGGCCCCGCCCTTCAGGCGAGCTCGAGCCCCCAACAACACACCCATCGATCTGACTCTATTCGTTGTCCTGCCCTCTGCCTCCCACTTTGTCCGTAGTCGGTGCAACTCTCTCTTCGCAGAGCCCCGTCGCGTGTGTATGACAGCTGTGCATGTTTGTTCAATTCCTCCACCCATTTGTGCGTGTCTTCCGTCAATGTCCCGTCGCACTCAATTTCCTCGATGCACTTACGGGGCCCACGTTCAGGGCCATTGGAGTCCTTGAGGAGCTGCTCACGCCTAAACCGCCTTCGACGTGTTTTTTTTCTACGTCGTGAAAATTGCTTCTTGCGCCCACCGAGAACACCCCTCCGTAGCTCCGCGTCCACATCCACCAGTTGATCAGGTTTCCTAATTGGTTTAGTGTCCGATCTGCCCTTAGTATGCCTACGCGCAGTCGCTGCGCTCACAAGCATCCCCCCCCCCCGCTGTTTGGATATTAATGCCACCCTGTTGACTCGCATGTTGTTGTATATGCACGTCGGCCAGCGCAGTGAACACATTCGCAGACTCGTAATCCTCCGGGGCCCAAGTGATGAGACTCGGGCCTCGGACGCACGAAAGGCTTGCGCACTGGTGCATGTTTTATCTTCACCCCTACTTTCGCATGATCACTGTGTCGCGATGGCCGATCCTGTGCAGGATCAACAAATTCCACCGTGCATTCAAATAAGCAGATGATCCGAGCCACCTCGGCACCTGCAAACTGCGTCGGCACAAAAACGTAGTCCATGCCCTGGAGCAACTGCTGGCG